CCTGAGTCATTGCCCGCTGCGCGGGGGCGGCTGCCCCGGGCCGCGCGGGCTCGGCCCCGTCACGGGGGGACGGGGGAGGGTTAGGCCTGCGGTTGTTGCGCCCCTGGGGGCCCCCTGGCAAGGCTCGTTACTGGAGCCCGCCGCAGCCCTTCTGGGAAGCCTGTTTGTCGCTGCCAGGGTGGGACTTTTACGTGGGTCAGTCTGCTGCGTGGTCTGAGCCCTTTTCCACGCTTCCCGAGTTGGCTGTTCCCCATAGCTGGGACTGCACTGAGGTAATGCTGTGCTTGCGAAGGAGCACCGATGTTTGGGTTGCTTGTGCTTGCATGCTGAAGCACGTGGTTACTAAAAGCAGGTAATCTTAAAGAAGGCATCCCTCTTGTTTGACAGATTAATCGGAGGAATGCTTTCTAGGTGGTTAAACAAATGCAAGTTTTCTGTGAAATGCTGTCTTGGCAGATGGAATCGATTCATGCAGGAGGGTAACCATTCATGTCGGTTGCTGAACTTGCAGTGGAGTCTCCAGTGCTTTCTGTTGACCAGAAAGCTTCATGTGCTGCTATTAGCCCACTTAATACTGTAGTCATTTAGGTGCTAACAAACTCTCTTTCTACTGAAGGGTGATGGACCAGTAAAAATTACTGGAAAAATCGAATGCTTGGATGATGGAGATCATGGCTTCCATGTCCATGAGTTTGGGGACAACACAAATGGTAAGATCTGTATCTAGGCTTTCCAGTTAGAGCTGTATCCTGACTGTTCAGCTGTAAAGAGCTTCTTCTAGTGTTACAGTGCTGACTAGTATGAAATGTACTTGGTAGTCTGGTGACTGCAAGACTGTTTTATGAAAGGATGACATTCTCTAACAAATTATTTCCCAGTTAATACTCTAAACATGTTTAAACTAGTCTTCAGAACCTGATATATCAAGCACTAAAATACTACGATGACCTGGTGTTAAGAACTGAGAATGCTACTTTCAGCTAAACCAAGAACATCTGAAAATGTTCTGTGTTCCAGAACGTTATATTTTATTGGACTCAGTAATGCTTGCAAGTCTGTCATAGGTTACTTGCCTCCAATGGATCAGGATAATATCTGGCATGAGAACAGCTATTTTATCATTAGAGAGTTTGCTTCCTCTGACTGTGAGGACTACCTTGTTGTATTGTGTAGACAGGTTTATATTGGCTGTGGTGAAAACCTACACTTCTGATGTCTGATCTGTTTCAGGGTGTACCAGTGCAGGTGCCCACTTCAATCCTGAAGGCAAGCAGCATGGTGGACCAACTGATGCAGAAAGGTGAGTTTAATGTGCCTGATCCTTTATTGGGTAGCTGTTCAACTTTAAGCCAGCAGCTCTTTAAGTGAGACCCCTTTCTGCCTGGGAGACCACTTCCTGGATCATGCTAGGACAAAGCTAGGGAGAAAACTGGCAATTCCAGCAAGTCTTCTAGGGTCAGTTAATACAAGTCCTGCTAACTGGAATGGTATCTTGGCTATCTTTGCTCCAAGAGTATGGATAGGATGTAGTCTTTGAGATGTGTTCTTGGCTTAATCACAGCTTGGAGAGAGATTTATTTTTTACTGAGTGAGGGTATTTCAGGATGTGGGTGAAGGGGATTCATGTGTTAATGTTCCACTTGGTCAGTGGTGACTTGCTTCTGTGTCAGGGCCCTGCTCAGCAAATAGCCTTTCACAATGGGCCTTCATCTGTCAAGGACCTATTGACCTGTATGCAGGCCTGTTATGTGGCAAAATCGGGATTATCTGGGGAAGGGATTGGAGCTGCAGGGGGACTCTAAAATGAATAGGAAGCTGAGTGTGCCTGGCATGGTGGTGGTTTGAGTACTAGGCTGTGCTCAACTTTTCAGCCTGGGCTGTGCTTAACCTGTCAGCTCAGGCACTGTACTGCTTACAGGACATTCTCTTTTAGGGGATCTGTGCTGAGTGCAAGTATGGGGTCTGTTTGTTCTGAACACTACTGAGCCTCAGTGGCAGTTGAGACATGGAGCTGAGGCCTAGTTTTTTTCATGGGAGCAGTTTCATAGTCCAGTTCCTTGAAGGGGCCTTTGCATGTCTGATACCCATACTATTTAAACCACTTGCTCAGGCTCAAATAGTATACTCACTGGAAAGGGGCTGTGCAAGAACTGAAGGCCAATGTGGCAGCAAGTGTACAAGACCAGCCCGTCTTCTACAGATAGGTGTAGACTTGGCAGTGTGATATGATTTAAATGCTCACCTAAAGTCCATAGTCGCAACTTCTGTGACTGATAAATGAATAGCACAATGTTCAACTGCTTGCCAAACCAAGCTGTGGCTGCTAGTCACCTGTCTGGATGATGGCAGTATGAAGTGGCTTGCTTGTGGGCTTCCCAGGCAGTCAAATGCTCCTGTGCTAAAGGCCAAAACTGCATGCACATCATGGCTTCTGCCAGTTCTGCTTAGTCAAACTCTTCTCCTAGCATAACCTACGTGCTCAGACAATTGTAGTCTAGGGAATCCTCTATGGAAACAGAACTAGGTCATGCTTCAGTCAGTACAGAGTTGAAACAGATTGGACTAAAACTACCTGGAAGTTAAAATGAAGCAAATGTCTAAAGGGAAAACTGCCCTTGTCCTCTTTTGTGACTTAGTTGAAAATAGAAGTCAACTACTGGCTTCTTAGACAGTCGGATATAAGCATTCAGCTAGCTGAGCTGGTTACTCCACAATGCCTGGAGAGTTTATTAGAAACAGACTGGTATTAAGGTTCTGAGTCTAGGTCAGTGTCTTGCAGCTCTGAACATGAGCTTGTCTATGCCCCTTTATTTGGGATAAATGGATTGGGAACAATGCACTGGAATGTCCAAAAGCTGCAAACTGACTTGCTACCTGAGGCTTAATTCTTCAAGGAATTCCTGGTGGCAAACTGGCTCTAAACAAAACTGTATGGTAGAACTCATGTCATAAAGGAAGATTCAGAATAAACCGGAGTAGTCATTCCTAGTACTGATCAGAACTTAGCATTTAATGTATCCCCTGTTGACCTGTCACTTGGCAAACTGCTTTTACTAATCTTGTTTAAACCAGGTTTGTCTGCAGCTGCTTGTAGAATGGCTGACTTGTCATAGACATGAAAAGCTTTAAGCATAGCAGCAGCGCTTATACCAAACCTTGCATGTGCAGAAAGATTGTCTCACCTAATTGAGGGTGTTCCTCTGAGCAAAGAAATAACCTATAATAGAGAAATGTGAAGAAAATTCTTAGCTGCAAGAGTTGTGTATTATCAGCTTGCCTTGCCAGGGGTCATGGTGTTTCTTCCCACAGTTGTAATTAACCTTTTGATTCCAAGTTCTGTCTAGAACTGAATTTTAATCAAATCTCTTGAACTAAATGTCAATAGTGGAAATGTTGAAGGGAACACTCATTTAACATCAGTGACCCTTCAAGATAAGGTGGTGGAATACTTCAGGGAGGTAAAGATGAGTGTTGTATTGGCCAGACCAATACAATTTAATGTACTGAGCTTTCTGCAAGTTTGTCTGCTGCTTTGTATAGGCATGTGGGAGACCTTGGCAATGTGACTGCTAAAGGAGGAGTGGCAGAAGTGGAAATGGAAGATCCACTCATTTCTCTTAGTGGACCATATAGCATCATTGGACGTACCATGGTGGTAAGTGTCTTGATGCCTGCTTAGTTGCTTTGCAGAACTCCAGAGCAGTCTTGCAAGTTCTCTTGCTGCTAGAGGCTTGTCCCTGTTTTTTTATGTAAACTGTAGCTCAAGACTTTGACTCTGGGGAGTCTTTTCCAAAGTTCTGCCTGAAAATGTAATGTATCACTGTGGTAGTTATTACCATGATCCTGAAACTTGCTGTGTGCCTTGCTGAGGGTATTCCTTTCCATTAACCTTGCTTTTTACAGCTGAGTGATAAAAACCAACCTTATCTGAGGAAGCAACTGGTGGTCTGGCACAAGTGCTGTGTCATTGCAAGGCATGATGATGGGCACTTAATGGCTGTGCTCCTTACCACTGCTGTAGTGGCTGTTGCCTTAATTTGCCTCATGGCCTCCCTGGGGGAAGGAGGCAGGCAGAGGGTGTGGATGCTGTGATTAACAAGCCTGTGGATTGGATAATAGACCACTGTAATCAGTCTGGTTTCCCCTGGGACTCCAGTGCATGCTGAGACCACTGTATTCTTGCTGCATGAAACGGGCTTGGACTGATGACCAAGCAGCCAGGAGGTGTAATGTTTGTTAAGGAGTGGCCAGGGCACACTTGTGCCTTCGTAAGTCAGCCTTGTGTTGTAAGGATGAAATTGGATTTCAGGTCAATGTTTCTTAGGTGAGTAGTAACTCTTTTCAAACTTGGATTTTTTTTTCTAACTTGCAGTTCTAAAATTCAGTTGAATGCTGCTTTTCTTCAGACAAGTCTAGTCTCAGGTTTTTAGCATGAGTACCAATTTGGTGTTCAGTGATACAGTAGAAAGAACCAGTCAGTTATTGCCAGCTGTCGCCAAGGTATATGTACTACTTGTTGCTGTTAGTACTAATGTAAATAGCTGTGAAATGTTGATTATTAATAGTAACATGGATTAAGTATCTTTAATTCTCTTTTTAGGTCCATGCAAAACCTGATGACCTGGGTAAAGGGGGAGATAATGAGAGCAAATTAACTGGAAATGCTGGACCTCGTTTAGCTTGTGGTGTAATTGGAATAGCAAAGAGCTAAGTATTGCACCTGAAGTGCTTAAGATGGCAGTGAGAAATGGGCTGTATTTCATTGCAAATGCTGTACCTGGCCTTGTTCAAGAAAGATTTATCACTTAATTTCATTACTACTTTGCATTCTAAGTATCAGTGAAACTGGTGAAGACTGACTTAATTTTGTACAATGTATATTGCAATTAAAGTGACCCTGATAGAATGTCTCTGTAGTCTTCTGCTAAAGCTTCTGCTGTAATCATCAAGTATTATCTTCACTAACTAGAACTCTTGTTCTGTGTAATGGAAGATGTTTAATAGTGACCACAAATGCTGAATGCTTAAATTTCAGTGTATTGTAATTTAATCACCTTATGAGCTCTAGCAAGACTACTCACCAAAGAGCAGTAGACACTGTATGCCTCAGGGCTTCCTCCTGGCAGAGTTACAGCATTGTAGGTTTCAACCTTACCTAATAAATGTGCTGGGCAAATATACCTTGGTCTTGCTGTCTGTGGGGGTGGGAGGAACTACCTGGTGATCTAACCTCTGAGTAATAGGGCTGGACTTCCTGATGCCAGTAGTCAGTTTGCTAGACAGCAACAGCATTCAGCAAATCACTTCTAGCCAGTAATGCTGGACCAGCTAAAACCTTTACTCGATCAGTATGCTCAATAGTATTCCAATACTCATGATTGGAGTTCTGCTCAATAGATTTTTGTGGCAGTACCCAGTACCCTCTGCATGTTACAGTTGGGTTGCATGTACTTAAGGACAACTTTTTGTTTCAAGAACTACCATCTTGCTGTAAATTTTAATGGCGTAAACACTTGAGACACTCAAATGGGACTGCAGAATTGGGGTGGGGAGGAGGACTGAAGCATACAAAACTGTCTGGGTTCAACATGAATACTTGGTCCTTATCTTCTGGACCTCAGCTTTGTGTGGTTGGATTGTTCTGGGCAGATGCGGAAACCTCCCATCAGAGAAAATCAAGGCTGTTGTGCAGTACAAATTCTTGATTCATTTGTGAATGATACCTTTCTTGAAGCTATGCATCTAGATGAGTCTAGTGTGGGATAGGCCTTTGATTAAAAGATACATGGCCAGAAGTAAAAATACTGAAGTCATAAGGATTTTCAGCAGTGTAATTGCTGTATACTAGTGCCAGCTTTTTTAGTATGTACTTAAACACAGATTTTTCAAGTCTTTTAATAGAGAAAATCATTAATTTTAATGGAGACTAGTATCAACATTCCTTTATATCTTGTACACAAATGATATTCATGGAAGTAGTTGCTTGTACTTTTGGACACCCAAATTCCAGTGTAGCATGTTACATATGGAATGGTTCTTGGTATAGCAAGAATATTGTAAAAACACTTTAAACTTACATTCATTATAGGTGGCAAACAATTGTGTGTACAGTCTCTACCCACCTGTAACTTTTCCAGTGGATTAGTGTGTATACACTCTGAATTAGCTGTAGCAGCAGAGTTAAGATGGTGAATGCGTATTTCATGTCACTTAGCATTGCAGGCTGCCAAACGCTGAATATAATACAAATACCACCGTCATTGTGTCTTCTCTTTACACTTTAGACGTTTAGAGGAGAGCTATATTGCCTCTCTTCTCCCAAAGGAGGAAAAAATAGCAAATACGAGGTTGAAGTACTATGCTTCAGTCATCTCCCAGCTGTTCAGTGCTGAACGTTGCTTTTTTTGAAAGTCTGATATATAGATGTTTACCTTCAAATCTGTTTTCTCTTTAGGCTAGTCTGCCATCAGACATTTAACTAGAATTCAGTGCTATATGTTAAACTGCAGAGGTAATACTCCATTTATGTACATACATTATGGTAGATATTGGTTCAGTAACCAAGATATTAATTGCTCCGATTGGAAGAACTGTAGTGTCTATTGGTAATGGATGCTGACATTGAGCTTACTAAATTAATCTTAAGTATAAATTTCTGGGCTGTCTTTTTTAAAGCCAGAAATTTGGTAGTTAATACAAAAGTAGGATATAGCTATGCTGGTGAAACCTGAAGTAATAATGCTTTATTACACAAGTACTGCTTCAGAAGGAAGTAAGAAACCATTCTGAAAATGGCATTCAGAACTTTTCCTGGGCATTGTTTCTGCTCTCCTAAAGGGAGAGAGTGAAAATGTGAGGTGGCATTTGCACAAGCTGTAACAGATAAGCCTTCCATCTCTTTCATTCTTGTCTTCAAATCTTTTAATAAAGTGTATTCATTAAAAAAACCTATCTCCTTACAGAATTATGGCGGTTGTTATTAAGACAGTCTTAAACTTAAGACATAAACATCTGGTTTTGTATGAAAAAGTTAAGTTTCACTGGCCCAGCATGAAACAAACATTAAGGACACAAATTTTTAACACATGGAAGTTGAGTTCACTACAAGTATGTAAACAGTTTTTTTTCTCTCTTTATTCTGCTATTGCAAGAACATAAAAATATATGTCCTCTCCCCCATCAATAACTCCATATTTGCCTTCCCACCCCACTCCCTCCCCCAGAAAAAAACCCTTTGCCGCAGAGCAGCTATGAAAAAGTACTGATGTAAGAAAGCAGCTGCCCTTCACTCAGGGGAAAACACCCAACTTCAAATGTAGAACACACCTATCTCAAGGAGAAAAAAATATGCACAGAATTCATACAATTTTTTTCCACTACACTTCTAAGAGTATAACAAGCTTCAACTGAATGTCTGGTGCAATCTGAGCCTCGTCTTCTGGTGCATGGGCTAATCAATAAGAAAATATATTTAATCACAGAATTTTCAGGGCGCTCGGACTGCTCAAGTTAACGTAAGTCTCTTAAAACTGTTTGCACCTGAAGGGTCAACTACTAGAACTAGTATTTGCCCTCTTATAATTTGACAAACTTATTTAAGTGATACGGAGAGAAGATGGTAAAACTTACACAAATACAAGAATATGCATTTGTTTTCCATCCGTTTGATAGGTACAACACTGCAGGTAAAAATTTCAAACCTACCTCTTGCTGGATTACAGGAGGTAGACATCGTTAACACAGACAACAGTAACAGCCTAGATTTGTGTGAATGAACAGGCAGCATTTTAAAATCCTTAAGCGCCCTCCCACTTCCCTACCTTTTCCCAGCCCCCTTTAAAAAAAATAGGTTAGCATTTAATATTGTGATTTGGTGTCTTTGATTTCTTTTCCAGCCCACTTTCCAAAAAGCATCAATGAATAACAAGTACAAAAGATGCTGAACAGGTGTGCTTCCTAGCCCACCACACACAATTTTATAACATTACAAGCAGAGCGGACCAAGTATGTCTGAGGGTGTCCACTTTTTAAAAAAGGCTAATTAGGGCAACATTTACCACAGAACCAATTGGAGAAAAAAAAGAAAGAAAGAAAGAAAAAAAACCTTGATTGCATTGCAAACACTAAACAGTTACCTCTTCAATTAACATTTTAAAACCACTAACTTTTACCTAGTATGGTCAAGTAGATCATTAAAATGCAGCAATCTAAAAATCAAAATGACTATTACAAATAAAAATTTGCTTCTGTGAATAGCTACACAAACAGATGTATTTCTTTTAACAAATATAAACAAAACAGTCTAATTTAGACTCCAGTACAGCATTAACAGTTCAAACTTTAAGATGTTGAACAATCCTTTTCCACTTCAGTGCAGTGTAGGAAGAATAGCACACATTAAAGTTTGTTACGAAAATAGAGTTTATTAAAAACACATCCCTATTGTTTTGAGGAGCTTTCACCGTTACCTTTTCTTAAATTAAAAAAAAAAAAAATAGAAAGCACTTCTACTTCTGATTTGTAAACTTTTTAAAGTCAAAACTTTAAAAAAGTTACAGCAAAAATGGGTAATATTTTAATCATATCTTCAGTATTTTGTGTTATGTGGTGGCTATTTTAAATAGAAGGGAAGCAATCAAATTGCTTACAATTCCCCACCAACTACTGAGGGGCTGTGATATAAGCAGAAGCAAGTATAATACAGCAGACTGTACAAGGCTAAAGCTCTACACTCCAACAAATGTCACTGTCAGGGTTTGACAAATTCCAGTCTCTAACGAGGAGCCTCTGCAACTGAGCCAATATCCTTTTCAGCTTGTTCCACAGATGAGGTAGCCTCAGATGTTAACTCTTCCTCAGGTTTTACACCTGTAGGTTCAGACTCTCCTTTAGTAAGTTCTGAAACAACGTCTGCATCTTCCATTTTGCCACTATGAGATTCATGGTTTTTCTCGCCATCTGCCCTGTCTGTCATCTCAGCTTTCTCCTTTCCTCGATTTTCTTCCTTGTCTCTACGAGACTCCCTATCTCTAGAATCTCTGTCTCGATGTCCACTGGACCGCCTATTTCTGTCCTCCAAGTCTCTGTGTCTGTCACGCTCAGGGCTTCTTCTTCCCCATTCTCTCCTCTCACGATTACCGAGTCGCTCGTGATCTCTGTCATCGTTGCGGTTACTGTAGCGCTCGCGATCATTTTCTACCCGATTTCCAAAAGATCTCCTTCCAAACCTCTCCTGGTCTCTGTTAGGAGTGAAAGTCTGCCTATCATTCCTATACTGCCTTCCATCCCTATTATCCTCAGGTCCACCCGGTCCTCCGCTTCCTGGCATCCCCCCAGGTCTCACAAAATGACCAGGTGGTGGGAAGGGGGTTTTCATTCCGTGAGGGGGAGGCATCCCAAAGCCCCCTGGCCCAGGCGGGGGGCCTCTGTGCATCATGTGGGGAGGCATGTGTCGCGGTGGCATCAAGGGAAACCGCTGCAGAGGAGGGGGGGGCATTCCGGGAGGTCGCTGGAGGGGTATCAAACCAGGCCTGGCACCTAAGAGGCCAGTGGAGGGAGTCTGCAGCCCAACAACAGGAGCCGGCGGGGGTGGTGCAACTGCTTGAGTACCTGAAACAAACAAACACACATGCAAATTAAAAAATAAAAAATAAAACCACAGGTTGACAGGACAGGAGAAGAAAGCACTTTCACAGTTTCAGGAACTGTAGCTGCAATTATCTCATGAAATGAGTAACAGCAAAGTGGGTGCATGTGCGTACATGGAATGGCCGGCAAAGCATCTTGTGCTGGTTTAATGAGAACTTACCGCAAAGAGGACATCATTTTTAAGCTGACCTCTGTTTTAGAATTATTCACTTATCCTAAAGGCTTCACTTTGTGAAGAAGCAGTTGCCATTTTGCAGGACAGAACTCTTGCATACAGCTCCTTGACTTGCTTTGTCAACTAATGCCTGACTACACACCTTCCTAATAGGTTATGCTTTCCGGGTTTCCTAATTCAAGACCCGGCATCGCCTTCAGCTAGCTTTAAAAACTTTCCCCACATTATAAACATGCTCTACATCCTAGCTGCCTACAACACTTGATGTTTGACCAGGGTCAACAACAAGATTTTTCAAAGTGCAGAAAAGGCAGCAGAGCTGGAGTAAGTATGACGTTAGAGCCATGTTCAGAATAGAAACAGGAGATTATGAACAGCTCAATTTACCATTCCAGACAAAATGGCTACAACAAAGTTTCGTTTTAGTAAACTAAACCCTGCAGTGTAAACTAAAAAGAAATGCAATATGAAACTTTAGGACATTTTTTAATACAGTTTTCCATCCTTTATAGCACGTACTGAAGGCCAACTTTTTTCCATTTTTACACCTGGAGTCTGTTTTAGCATGGTCCTCATAAGAGAAAAAACAAACAAACAAACAAACAAACAAACAAAAAAAAAACCTCTCAAAGCACACCATTCGAGAAAGCTCAGCCCAAAGCTTGTTGACATCAACACGAGCAGCAGTGATTCAGAATGAAGAGTACTCGACTCCAGGAGAGTACTTCACAAAGCACTGTGTGCAAGCCTGTTTTGCATGTCTCCTTTGTTTAAACTGGTAACACTACTGTCACACCTTCTGTGTGGCCTTTAAATCGGCTGGTCTCAAGCTTTTCTGCTCACTAGCAGCCATTTACCTGAAAATAAGCCCCACATCTGGGAAAGCACATGACCAGAACAAGTATTTTTCTTTTAAAAGGTGAACTCCACAACTCATAAAAGACCATCAGCAGCTCTTAGTAGAAAAAGCAAAAAATCTTGCCTAATCTCTCTTGCTTTCTTTTTTAAATTTTGTTGAGACCATAACGAATGTTTTATTTCGGGCTCTATCAATAAAAATGAAAGTTAAGAATGCAGGTTACATAAAATTTTCTAACTCCTGCCCTGGGTAAAACTGAAACTTCAAACAGCTATGTAAACTAATATACACTAGAATTAAATATTTAGCAAAGTGTCATCAGTGAAAAACCTCACTTTGATATCAACTTAATGAGCAAAATGTAGCAGATATCCCAATTAACCTTTCATTTAGCTGTAGCAGCTCCTCTCTTCTGCAACTATTCAGCATTTCTATCCCAACTAAACCCGAGCCTCCTGAAAAATATATTTTATTGCCCTTTCACCACTGCAGCTTTTATACTAAATTACACCCCAGAACCTTCTCTAACAGTAACTTTTTTATCTTAATGCCTTCATATTCATATTAGAAGGAAATTATATATTGCTGATCAGTAGAGCTCAAGTAGCAAAGACACGAATATTCTTCCAGTCCACGGTATCATCTTACCTTCCCCTCCAAGCAGTCACTTCTAAGACAGGATTTGATATGTCACACTCTTTGACATAAATGAACAATCAGCAACAGGGCTTTTTTTCTGTTTTTCTTCTTTAATTTTAAAACGAGCAGCCCTCCCCCTCCTCTTCTGTTCATAATCAGGGCTGTAAGCCACCTGATTTAAACTCCTCATGTGACCCCATACTGTGCAGATTTGATGAGACAGATATATGGCTAGTGACGTCTTCCAAGGCTTTTATTTTTAGGTTTGGGGATATTTTTGTTTTTACATTGCAAAGCCAATTGTTCCTCAGAAGATTAATAAAGCATAAAGGCTTAACTGAGATGTAACAAGTTGAAGAGGGTAAGTGAATACCTTTGCTCTATAGCAACAGAGTAGGTGAGGATGTAACAGCATGAACGTCCAGTGTGAAAAAAAACATTTTTTAAACAAGTACCAGCAATTTAATGTCTCAATCTTATTTCTACACAAAGTTAAGCATAGAAGTAGGGTAGTGGTATCTAGAAACTCATTTTCTTTCAATTTGGACTGCATCACCCAGGTAGCTGAACAATTTTTATTTTATATAAGTCTACTCAAATTTTTAGGCTGAAGTACTCTGCAGAAAGTACTATTAGAGTTCCCTCATAGTGCTGACAAGTCAGGCACCAGTTAAAAATTTACTCCAAAAGAACTGTCCAGAAACACACCCACGTTTATTGAAAATGCTCAGTAAAATTGAGAGCACAGACTGCACGTGCACCTTCCAGGAAAATTTAAAGATCTTTGTTATCTCATACAGGGAAAGACACTTATGTAAAATTTAAAATAATTTCTCAAACTTGAAAAGAAAAACCAGAGCTCCTAGAGAAGGAATAAAGCGGTTTAATGACCATCTCGTACCTGTGCAGAGAAATGACAGAATGTATCTGCCCCAGCATGTATCTGTTCCTAAGTGTAAGCCTTTTTGTAACCCTTCTTCCTTGCTTATGGAAATGAATCTCCATCCATCCACTTCAACAACTGTTTGTTCTGCATCACTTAGTTAAGATATGGCTTTTATTACTGGTGTAATAATGCTCAGACCTTGTACCTAATATGTTAAGTTCATTTTGTTCAAATGTGTAAAAATATACATTGCTTTCACAACTTATTTCTATTTGTGACTTTTACCAGGTGAGGCATATAGTACAAGGTCCTCAGAACTTGAGAAGATTGTTTAATATGAAGAGCTCGGATACAAATATGCTAGAAGAACCCATCACCAACCCATGAGTGTTACTTTGGAGATGTAAGAACAATCACACAGCGTCACAAGTTTCATAATTTCACTTTACTCATCAGGCATAGCTCAAAATTGCTATAGCTGTCCTGAAGAAGTGTCTTCTATCCAGAGAGGCCAGAGTAGTCTTCCTTACTTTTTTGACAAATTAGGTAAAAAGCCAGATTTCCATGTTACTGTAATTCCATTTTTCATTATCTTCTCTTCTGGCTGGACAAAGCCCATGTTTCCTTGTGACAGTTATCAGAGTCATAAAAGCTAACATCGGTGAGAACTGTAGCATCTGATTTTTTTTTCCCCCTTTTTTTTAAAAACAAAATTCTGCCCCATAAGTGATTCCATCCAGTATCTCCTATAGTCTGTTAAATTACTTCTCAGCTGTGCTGTTACAAGAAAGCAAGTGAAGCAATGGTATCTAACACACCGATCTTGCTCCAAATACACCTCCCTCTGGAAATCTGATGAAAAGACATACGGGAACAAGAAGTCAAAATGGGCTAAAGGTTTACACCATGAGTTTGATGCCGATGTTCTGCAATATTTAGCATGTCACATTAGTTTTTATACAGTTAGGCTCCAGTGGGGATGCCGCATCTTAAATACTATCAGGAAGTTCTTGGAGATAGTACTAAATACAGTGTTTTAAGCCTTGTATCATTCTCTGCGGTTTGATACCGAATCCTTTAGAGGAGGCCACGACCGTAAAGAAAGAACCCTAAACACAAGTGCCTAAACATGGACTCTCAATTTAAATAACTTGGACATAAATACCAACATTTTCCAGGGTAGTCAATACCTATCATTGAAGCCAACAGGAGTTTGCTCCTATTCATTTAAGGTTCTTAAATAAGGATGTACGAGTCAAACTACACAAATGTACAGTGTTGGTTACAGGTATTAGACTTCTAAAATTCTTGCTTTATAAAACACACACATTAAACTGATCCAGGTCAAGTGAATCATGAAGGCAAAATTTCATTTCATGAATGGTGCTTGAGAATTCATGTTTACCTTTCCTCTGAACTTTCATTCAGTAATAGTATCTTTATGAAATTCGCGTTCATATACGTAATTAGGAAACATGCAGTGTTTGTTGGGCTTTTAACGTGGGCTATCACAGAAAATTTGGAAATGTAGTAAGTTTATCATTGTTCATATCCTGTATTAATAAAAAAAGTTGATACTTCCTTTTTCCAGTATCCACTTTATAACACACTAATATTCTGATTAGCTCAGAGAATATTGTACTCTCTCTTTTATAATTTAATGCAGATTACAAAAAGAACATGTAGCTACTTAGGAGCAAACCAGCAAGGGAGAAAAGAATAACAATTCAGCGTGCATTAACAAGAAATGAATACCAAGCTCCATGAGAACTATGGTATATTAATCCTTGATAATATGTAATTATCAGTGTAGGAATTTTGGTAAAAAGAGCATTAGACCATACCTACAAAACTGCAATCTGGTGCATTTAATCAAGATAACGGATCACAGAATCTGAATAAAACAAAGCATCTGCAACAGCAATTTATTACTGGTCCAAATTACAGCATTTGCTCAGCACTCAGACCAAGTTGACAAATCACACCCTATCACTTTCTGCAGCAGTTGCATGTAAAAAGAGTCTAAAAAATTCTGCTCTGCAGATCATTTAAAAGATAGTAAGATGAGCACACACTCACAAAATCAGTTACAATCTGGATCATCTTGTCCAAATTAAGAACAAGAAGCTAAAACAACAGTGAATATGATCAAGGATACAACTCTGATAAAACAACCTGAAGGTGTGGGGTTTTTTTTTGTTTTTTTGTTTTTTTGTTTTTTTTAAGAAATTAGCACAAAAAATTTAGACACAATGTCCACAAGGGATCACTGCTTTGGAGCCACAAGCATGTCACTGTTGGAAGTGATGGAAGAATTACATTGGAGGAATGAATGAAATTAGTGGAGATGAAACAGAATGTAACTTACATTACTAAGAAAGCATATGAAATCTTACAATAATCAATCAATTTAGAATTACTTTATAACATATCTTCCATTAAAAAACTGGACAGATAGATAAGCTTCATTTTGAAGTTACAAAAGTTAGGAAAGAGCTCCTGCATTTTTACAGATTACATAAGGTATTCTCAGACAAGGTTATTAGGTTTAGATTTCTATGAGAGTCTCTTCAGAGCAATCTTCATTCTTTGAATTCAGCTTGCTGAAGCATGTTCTTCTATCCTGCCCACAATATCCGAAGAACATTTCTTCATTCTTCTCGTTAAACTACTGAAGCCCCTTCAGCCCTATTTCCCCAAGCAGAGTCCTCATGATATACTTCATGATGCTGTCAAACAAATCTTTCTTCTACCTTCTCATCTCAGCTTTGAGAACCACATCATGGGCATGTTTAAGCAGCAGCTTAAGAGGACTTCATCAGAAACCAGTCACATAACCAGTTATCTATTCAAACTGCTAAACCATATACTTCAGAACACAAAGTCCTTCAGTCTGAAGCACGTGATGTCCCTTGCTTACAGTTTCCCATGGCAAACTGAGGGTGATGCTGTACCTACTTGCTTACTTTGTCCAGTTCACGTGTCTCTGACCTGTACAAGCACTAAGGCCACATTTAAATGGTCAGACCTGCAAGTACTTCTGGGCTCCTGGACCTGGATGCGTATGTAGATTGCATCTCATGTCCGCACGGGTGGTGAAACCCTGGCACACTCCATTTCCCATGTTTTGATTCCCCTAGAGATGAAACCTGACACACAGAATGAAAAGGAATGACACAGCCTGGCCAACTCTTGCATTCGGATGATGGGGAGGGTAAGACTTGAAGTGACACTTCTTCCTTGCAATCTACATACAGCATAAATGGTGGGGGAAAAAAGAATCACCTCTCATGTTTTTCTTCCAGCTTAACGAAAGAACAGATTCGTTCTCTCACATACAGAGTTCAGCTCAATTGCTAAGTGAATCAAAGCGGTTTTAAGACAAGAGTTTCATTTGTCTCAACTTACTGAAAAGATTTAAAAGCAAAAGACACTGATACTAATTTTTTATCTTTAATAATGTAAGATGTTATAATCTCTATTTCTGCTAGTTTTGTTATATCTTACATCTCACTGTGAATAGTCCCTGTAACTGAAAGATCAGGATGGAAGGATTTTACATAGCTCCTTGATTTTATAATTTCTGCTTCAAATAAGACATTTGCCCACATAAAATGCAGTTACTTGAAAAATAATCACCGAGAGCTCTCCGTTAGTACTTCAGTTCTCCTACGCTGTAAACGCACACATTAAGATAAACTTGTAATCTTAAAACAAACAAACAATCACCCCTCTGACCCCTTGTTGACAAGGCTGACCATACGGCAACTCCATCCTCAACTATCCCATAAAGAAGCTAATAAAAATGAAAGTAAATTCTTGATTTTCCAGTTTTTCAGAATCTGCTTCCTTGAGTTTGTAAGAGTAATAAAAGCTACTGTCTACATAAGTGACATGAGCATTTAATTTACTTTAGTTCAATCTTCATTTTATAAAAGCTTTTTCTTCTGTATACAGTGATACAGCACACCGCAGAGTAACCGAATGCATTTCGGAGGCTTGGAATAAAAAGTTCAGGTTATGATGCACAAGACATGATAACATGAAACTTCAAATAATTTGGTAATACTGTATTACAATTATAAATGCCACTTAGCCATTAAGATGTGTCTTGAAAAACGTAGAGCCAGATGATCCTTATCACTACAAGAGTCTCAACCCCTGCTGTCACCAAAGGATTCTTCTATTTGCCTGTTTCTATTTCTCAAATGGCCAAGATACTCTCAAAACCACTAGCTACTGGTTTTGGATATCTGCTCTGAGGGACTTCATAAGCAGCCTGATTTTTAGAGAGAAGAGGCTCTTCACTTTTTCAAAAAGTTCGCTTAGAAGGGTCTCATTTTGAGTTTCCAACATGAAACATCCAAAAATCACTAGTCGCAGCTGGAAAATTTATGCATCAAATCCAACAGAGCAGTAAGCTCTCGGATAGAGAGAAAAAAAAAAAAAAGAAATCTTTGTTCTGCAGTTTACACTGCAAATTTTTGGGCATAAACACACTTAAACAAAACTATCTTTCTCGTACCCTTGTCATGCTCTCATTTAGTGGTCTGAAATCACATACATGGAACAATCCTATTATAAGTAGTAGGAAAATATTTATAGTTGCCTTTTGAGTATATTCTTGACACTGAACCATAAAGGGTCATCTTAAAATAAGTATTTAGTAGACCTCTGTAACATTAAATGGTATGCAATTTCTTCAAAAATCTGAAAAAATCCCAACATGAAAAATAATCTATGTAAGATATCCAGCTAACTTGCTTTGCTTGTCAAAATGGCATATTGCTAAAAAGGTTTCAAAACCTGTAATATTGCAGGGTTAAATGAAAGTTCTTGGTTTTTCCTTTTATTAAAATAATTTATTCCATACAGAAAAAGTATGCTATATTTTCAGAGATTTTAAAAATACACTTTTAGAAGAATACTGTTCTGCTATAAGTTATGTTCACAGTAACCACTATACATGTACTAGTCAAGCCTAAAAGAGTTCATGTCACATGTTTTTTCATAAGGCAACCTTCTATACACTATGAACTGCAATTTGTAAAGCTAGAAGCATGTCTTTCCGTTCTGAATTTGTAATTTAAAATTTACAGCATTTTTGTTTTTTCAGGAAACAGAGATCTTCAATAACACTAGTTTTACTATTTTTTCTGTTGAAAATCAAGCCTTTAAAAATTATTTAAAGGCTAAACACAAGGACAGCAATTTGAATAAATGTTGAAAAATTCACTTTTGTTTCCAACAAACTGTAAATCAGGAGCAAAATGAAAATCTTACTTTAAATTTAGGGAACAATAAACTGAAGAATATATACACAAAAAAGAACTTACCAAGAAGCGGAATAGCTTGGGTAACAGGAGCAGGTACATTAGTAGGTGCTACAGGAGGTGGAACAGTCCCATATATTTTGGAACTATCACTAGTTTCAGCATTCCCTCTGGATCCAGAAACCACTGTTGGGATGGGATTTCCAACAGATGCATCTTTTGTAGTGTCTTCATTTACACCAGCTGCTGTAGCTAAGGAATAATTGCATTGACATTTAAAAAAAAAAAAAAGTCAGTTTTTCTGCTTGCATGATACCTTTCTTCTACAGCCACTTGCTCAAGATTCAAACACTTACAGTTTGGGATGTTTACTGCTGGAGTGTGAGGAACAGATACAGGAGGGGTTATAGGAGGTGGTGGTCCAGGAGGAAGAAAGCCTATAAGAAAAGTATGTATTAACACAGCACTTTACCCAGATGCAGTTGTGTAGTTTATATTGCAAATACTTTTATTGCCTATGTGATTAAAAAAGGGACTTAATATTTCTAGAAATACAAAAATATACCTGGAGGTAAATGCATTGGGTTGAACCCAGGTCGTAAAAATGGAGGCGGTGGTGGTGGTGGCACCCCAGGAGCAAATCCAGGAGGTGGGATTCCTAAAGGTGCTGTGAAAGCAGGGGGTTGGAGTGCACCAACCACAGGAGGACCTGATGGATGTGGTGGAACCTAAGAAAAGGAAGAGGAAAAAAGTGTTGTATCAAGACTGAATAGATTATGTGCTGTTTAAATGTGGACTTCCTTCTTCTGTGCTTGGTCCATCAAAACAATAAAATTTTAAGCTCTCTTAAATTACACTGCAATAAGGTGTCTTAAATAATTGATCTAATTAGCAGTCAAAGAACTCCAGCCTAAAGTATCAACATTAATCTTCTTTGCCTCTGTTCCTAAAGAAAGGATGATCCTCTGTGGTAAATTAATGTTAAGATATGCTGATCTATCATCTAAATATGGCCTTTACCCAGTAGCTGGAATTAATTTTACTAACCAGTATGATATACTATTATGCACACAACTTTGGAGCAATTAAAAAGCTTTTTTATTTCGTTAGTTAGTTATTGTAACTACCCGAGTTTGCATATTACATTAGAGCGATTTTTACTTCCTTGGTCAATTATTATTATTATTATTACTACTATGATTTTCATTCCAATTTATGTCAAGCTGCTTCTGGATTGAAGCCAATCTAAAATAAATCAACCCTCAAAATAGTTTTCATTAATATAGTATAAAACCTACATTAAATGTAACTAATGAATCGGCTGTAATATAGAGTGTCACTTTTAATTTTAGTTTTATAATAATCTGTGACTAGGCCCCAGTGTAAAGTTAAGCTAACTGAACAGCATACAGAAAACTACTCGATATGACACAACATGAGAAATTGCCTGAGGTGACAGATAACTACACTGACAAAAGTTACAGATAGCACCATGAGGGATTGCTGGGTTTAGCATGCGGTTAAGGGGGTGTTTTGTGAACAAAAACCAAACTTCACAGATAACTGGAGGGGAACACTGAGGACCTTTCAGCGAATAGGACCCTGTCAGGTCATGGTGCCAGAACACCATATAAGGCTCAGATTAACTGGATGAACACTAACTTTCAGTAACCCTAGAGGTGTTTCCATTAATCACAGTTAAAGCTTTAGGAAAGTGCTTGGAAAAATCTTATAACCTAATAGCCTTGGTAGGATTGTTTTTGTTTTCCAGAGTAATCCTCCAAAGGAAAACAACTTGAAGAAAAGTAGGTAGACCTAGTGACAGAACTGCTGACTGCGGTAATGTTCTTTTAAGCGAGCGTGTACATACAGAGTGTAAACGTAACAGAAGGAATCAAAGAGGGATATCAAGGAGGTGAAGGATTTAAAACAATTGGGAAGCTAGTTAAGTGCTATCAGTACTTAATGGGTTAAAAGTTGGCAAAACTGTGCACCCAAGCAGATGACTTTCAATGACTTGAAAGGGGATAACGAATACTGAAATATTCTGATTGAACCAGAGTAGAAATAGACATTGAAGAAAGATGGCGCAGATACACATTAGATGATATTCATACCTAATTGCTAACGCTTAACTGTTGTGTTTAATTTTTCAAAAAAGTTAACACTCTAATGCGCATTTGTAAATAACATGTTAAAACGTTTCCTTTAAACAAAGGGAGAGAAAACGTGGTGGTAAAATCTAGGCATAAACGTCATAACGTCCGATTTAAAGTAAAATTTAAAGCATTAAAGTTTCTCTGTTTGTTAAAGAGATGGAGCCAACAGACAATAAACTGACAGGTAACAAACAGAGAAATGGTGAACAGTTTCAGAGTAACAGGTAACGAATTAGATAAAACAGAGAAACAGAAATGCTACTGAGCAGATCCTTTATTAATGGGGGGGGTCAAATACTGGGAAAACTATATTCTATTAGCAACAATGGGACCTGAAATAACTAACCCCGCAATAACTCACATGCAAAGCACCAGGTGCATCTCAGTCAACATGCCTTGAGGTTTGGCCTACGTCCAGGTACAACTATTTCTTACTGCAGACCTCTCAGACAGAGCCTTGAAGGAGAATAATTGGCCCAGTGGACTAAAAGAGCATAGTCTACTTAGAGTGCTCCAAGACAGGTGAATATTCAAGGGCACCTGGAGCCCCCAGCAGGAAGGCGGTCAAGGAGGAGCGAATTTCAAATGCAAGGGGTAGGTGATGGACACTGGCCCAATGCACAACTGTTACAGGCACGTATAGGGAGAAGGAGTGTAGGACTGGGTAATTCAGCCAGAAATTTGGGAAGTACACACTCAAGTTGGATCTTTGTTTCTGGCTAATAACCCATTAAATGAGGAGAAGGGACTTCAGGTTGGACTGGGAAACTTAGGAGAGGGTTGGCCACAGCAACACCCTGAACTCCAATGTATGACCTCCAGCAAAAAATGTGTAACACAACTGACACAAGTGGTATTCAACTGAAATTGATTCTGGATAACCGATAAATAGATTTAATTTGAGCTTCAACACTGCAATATGACTTAAAAATAAAGACTCGGACCTCCCCTCAGAGTAGACCGTGAGGTAGATGACTCAGATCTGGAGGGGGGGGGGGACCAAATTCAGCAACAACTCAGATATCCGTATCCACAGGCAAGAAGAGGGCTCACTCCAGTGACACGATGCAAGCAAAGTATTCTACCTAGCTTGCCAACAGCCCAGGACCCCGTGGCTGAGAAGAGGCTGGGCGAGCTATCAAAGCCGAAGAACTAGACTTACCTACGTGGGCTATTACTCTTACAGGGACGTTATTGATTTTTAGTGCCTTACTATGCACAGGTTGCATTAAAGGGTGACGGTGGCGGCAGCAATAACAGGTGAGACTGCAGCTACTTGCAGCCCTCGCTGGTAATGTCCAGCAGAGCTGGGCTCCCATTCCTATGTGTGCAGCCCACTTCAGAGGTACCAGGGGAGGCCCATTCAGATTCTGCTAGGGAATGGAGTGATGCAGCTCCTTCTGATAACTACCTTTAAGTGGAGGAATGTTAGGGCTGCAGGCAGAGGACAAAATCTGCTGACTAGGCTCTGGCCTAAAGTGAAGCTAACCGAACAGGATGTGGGAAACTACTGGACACAACACGAGAAATTGCCAGAGGTGACAGGTAACAACGTGAGAAGCTGACAAAAGTTACAGACAGCACTGTGAGGAATGGCTGGATTTTGCAGGTGGTTAAGGAGGAGTGTTACATGAGCTACGGCCAAACTTCACAGATGACTGGAGAGGAGCACTGAGGGTCTTCCAGGGTGTAGGACCTTGCAAGGCCAGCACCACCTAGGTAACCATATCCAGGACAGGAATACCATACAAGGACAGTATTACCTAGGTAACGGTATCAGAAATAGCAAATTCAGGTGGAAGCAGCAAAACTGGGACCAACGGGGAAAAAGTAATTAGAGGAGAGTTGTTTACTTGGGAGAAGATTGGGGCAGAGAAAGAGAGGAACAAGCACAGCAAAAAAGGTGATCAAGAAGTGAGAAAAGGAAGAATATCGTGGTGCAGCAACCATGCAGCTGGAGCTGTTCGGAGGTACCTGTTAGGCAGCGCTGTGCTTGATCACCACAGCCTAAATTAGGACAATATATCAGAACAGCAGGTTTGATATACCACGCATGTCAAACCTGCTTCCACGGTGAGAGGGACCAGGGTGTACAGGGGGTTTTCCCTGGCTGCCAGGGGAGCACGCTGACAAGACGGATGGAGCATGCTGGTATCACTGTGCCAAAACCCACTCCAGGTCTGACAGCATGAGCAGCTACTCCCCACTTCGTAGCAACCTCCACACATCTTACAGCCCTTAACACCGAAGCCAAACGCAAATGAGAGCGATTCTACTTGTACCACAGGACAAAAATACATCAGCTAAATAAACCGCAAAGGTATTCCATAAAGTGATTTAAACAAAAAAGTAGCATTCAATAAGCTGTTTCCTTTAGGTATTAGGTCATATTTACATATCTGAACATCAAAACCAAATTACTTTTACCACTAACACCATTTACATCACAGCTGAACCAAATTTTTAAGTTTTGAAGACTATTTACAAACCATTAAACTATTTTAGTTTATGGCACCCTGCAGAGGACAACTGAACTGGTCAAGTATAATAGAGCCTAAAACAGTTTGTAGTGAAGCCAGAGACAAAGACCAAATACAGCTCCCTGATCTTAGTCTGAATTTGCAAAGACTACAAGAAAAGTTTCTTTGCCATAGTAAAAAATATCAAAGCTGATGAGACTGAAACAAACTAGTTTCACTCTCATGTTATGAAACTGGTGAGTTTCTTATTTACACTTGTTTTTCAGTATGGATTCAATGAAAATGAACAAAAACACTTGTATTAACTACAGGTAATTTAAATTGCAGCTAATCAGTATTAAAGCTCTCTGAAATTCAAATTTTGACCCACGTGCTCATTTACTGAAAATACCTTACAGCACTACAAGAATTCTGTGTCAAAACAACACAGAGTTCAATATTCTATGTTCTGAAATCATAGAGCTGGCTAAATTATTTGTCTTTGAACAATTTGAGCTCCCAGTCTTTTCTGACTTTCTGTCATGTTGTAGTTCACAAATCCTATTTTCCCAACTTTTAAAATAGTTATATTCAAACTTTTCCCTTTGGGAAAAGGTATACTACTATTTTAAGTGACCAGAAAAACTATTACATTAAAACTAGTAACCTTCCTTTATCAATAAGTAAAGCCAAAAGAAAAACAGATTATAAAACATTAGAGGGAATAACTATTACTACATGTTGTTTAATAGTAAAATTTTAGACAGTTATTTTAAAAAATGAACATAAAACAATAACTTTGACTGAAGAAGCATGACAGCAACAAATGAATAGCATGAAATTTTTTAAATTGGCTTCCCAAAGGCTATTCAATAAAAGTATACAGAATATGAACAAAAATGAAAGCAATTTGCATATATTAGATGGTCTGTACCTTATTTAAATCAATAGTGAGGGAAATTAGTTAAGCAGAATCAGAAAAATAAATAAGGCAATCATAAAATTGAGAGGATGCAACTCATCTCATTAATAAAAAGAATCTACTGTAATGATTTCTTCTGGATGGAGACAGTGGATATTAGAAGTAGAGACTTAAGAGTACTTTGAAGAAAGACCTGACAGGCTATGTCTGCATTAGCATTTTGGTTCAGGGCAGCAGTGAGGTTTCGAAGCAAATCCTCCATCCTTCCCACTAACCATGCGCTGACTCTGTTCCCACGGCTGTTTGGGTATATGCAAAGTACATCCCTTTTCAAGGGAATGAAACCAGAAGCTCTTGTTCCTACTGGACACAAAACGTGCTCCCAACCCTAATGGGCTTGGTTTTTCAAGTCTTCCATTGCCACTGTGACTTAGCAGAACAGGAAGAGTTCTTCAATTACACTGCGTTGCTCTTTTATGAGGGAAAGCTCAAGTAACTGATTTCAGGTGCGTACTGCATTTTTGCCACAGGAAAATTACCTACACAAATTGCCAGCATGGCCAAGACAAGAGCAGTTACAGCTGAGGACAACAACATAAAACACACAAACAAAATCAACGACTTAAGCTATCAATCATGTTTCCTCCCTCCCTGTAACTTATGTATTGCCATCTTGAATGATTATTTAAATTTAAGTTTTTGTTGAAATATGCAGAGCAAATGAGAAGCAATTCTCACCTGTGGAGGAGGTACAGTTATTGGTGCAGGCATGGGAACAGGAATTGGAACAGGTAAAGCTTTAGGTATAGGTGACACTGGTTCATTATGCGTAGCTTCTGCACCTCCATTTTGAGCTACTTCATTTTCAGACTTCTTGGGAATCCCCTTCCACTCTATATTTAAAAAAAAAAAAAAAAAAAAGGTTCAGTAGAAGTGGACAAGTAGTCAAGTACTGCCATGTAAAACCAGTATGTTTTGTGATGTTTAAAACAACGAATCAAGCTATTTAAAATTATTTTTCAAATAATGAAAAGCCCATAGAAATAAAAATTATTTAAAAGGTATTTCTGAAGATAAAATCTCCAAATTACTTTGAACACAGTACAGCAAATCACTGGCACTGAAACATGGCAAGTAAATCCGTTCCTTTCATTAGTCATTTCACAATTCAGCTCTGTGCACTGACAGCAGGTACACACGTTCAGGATTCTGAAACACATTACCTGTAACAAAGGCTGTTTTAGGACAAGCTTTCAATAGATTTCATTACTCTAGGGCAACGTGGCAGCCTTTTCATTTATTTGAAAAGTCATTTTTGAAAAACCAACATTTACAACTCTTAACAAAGCAAGATGAGAATACAACAATATACAATCTCAGCAAAACAAGAGTAACATCAACTACAGGTTTCTAGAGCAGAAATACAGCTCCCACTGTCTGCCAATACCTCTTGGGAAAAGACAGCTGAGGGAGAAAAAGGGAGGGGGGGGGACAAAGAAGAGGCATCATGGAAATGAGGAAAAAAACTGAGAAGACTGGAACACACTGAGGCTATGTTTATCACTAATTGGACTCTCATTTACAAAACACACAACTTATTTGTGTGCAAGTCCCATGAAGAGATGTTACTGTTTAGAATAACCACCACCTAGCTACAGCAAATTGGACAGAATGACGTAACACTCAAATCACGTTTCAGTGACAAGACAGCGTATCATTCAACAACTGCACAGTTAAAATCAGCAAAGCAATCTAAAGTGCCAGTTCAAAGAACGTAAGATAATTTCAATTTTTAAGTAAGTACTGCCTTTATTTAATACTACTTTTAAAGCCACAACAGCTAGCATTAAAGCTTATCACTAGCAACTCTGTACTGACATAACCTGTAATTGATTTGAAGCTACTGATTATAACAGGCGCAATTTTCTTAATTCAAACAAAAAACCCTACTATTTTCACCGGTTACATACAAAACAACAAGGATTCTATTTAGGTCGAAATAAATAGAACACTTGCTGAAGGAACTGAAACTTTTTCAAGTATGAAAACAAAAGGCAATTTGAATGGAAATATTAAAGTTGCTGTCAGCTTAGCTGCTACACAAGCACTTCAAACGCAGGCTCCCTTGTTAGGGATATCTCCCACGGACGGGAGGGGGTCTGTGCTGGCTCAAGGGCTGCCGAGTGAGTACCACACACACCCTACGTGGATTACTGTGGAGAGCAAACTGCAGTGCAGCTGACAGGTCCCCTGCAGCCCAAGTCCTTGTTTAGCCCAGCCCCACCTCGTACGAGGGCCGCACAATGCCTAACGGACTGTCCCTGACTACTTAGGAACCCTCTGCAATCCACAAGTTACACATACTGCATCTCTTAGCCATTTGAGGGCTTTTATATGCAACTCACATGGTCCGGAAAGTCAGCCACACCAACTTCAGTACACGAGCATAAAGGACAACTATTGAAAAACATTTTAAGATCTAGCAATATTTTACCTGGACTGAGAGTTTCATTGTCCAACATTCCTCCTTCGCAAAAGCTTTCAAGATCTTCAGGTTTCACTTTGTCCCATGGTATATAGGTAACACCCAATTCTACATCCCAATACTGCTTGTAATCTGGCTTTATTCCTTTATTCAAAGCCCACGCAATCTTGGGAAAAAATATATGCAATCAGTAAAATGTTTTCACTTGAATGGCTTTAATTTTCAGTTTTCACAAAACAGCATTACAGCTTGAGGTTAGGGAGCAAAAGAGAATACTCTAATTGAAACAGCCGGAAAAGCAGTTTAGTTACAAAACTCTGAAATAAGAGTTACTTAAAGCAGAATTAGTTCTTATGTGCTATTCAGGTTTGATTCTTGCATACAATTTGTAAAAATGCAAAAAAGTGGTTTCTTCAGGTGTTCCCCAGTCATTTCAGCTAACTATTTCACTTCAGAGGACAGTGCCACTCTAGTGTGGTGTTCTACAAAAGGAAGAACTGGACTAATGAACGAGTTCTACCGTATTTATTAGTACTCTTTGAACATAGAATTAAACTCAGTTCTAAGAAAAAATAACCAGCAGCAAGAAAAACACAGTTAACAGTCCACTGTAATGACTTAAAGGAGGGCACGCTTTTTGCTGGTCAAAGATATAATTACTGGCAGTCTTTTAGGGAAACTGATACAAGTTCCATGAGTCACATTACAGAGCAGGAAGAATACTTACCAGGAAAAAAAGCAGTTCATTCACATAAATTTACAAAATAGCATATCTAGAATACAGAGAAGTCTAGAATACATTAAAAAATGTTAAGAATACAATAAGTTTTGAACAATTTGACACTTCCCAAGAAATACCTTTATAGATTTCTGATTGACTTTGAAGTTGCCTCGGCTCAATTTTTGTAGGGCACGATAAGCATCTTGTCTGTGAACCATTACAATATAGGCACATCCTCTAGGCGGTATCATCTGTTTGTATTTTAAGAAAAAACATTTGGTTTTGCTACCCCAAGAACAAAGTAACGAATAACGTAAGAGTTTAATTACAGTAAGCTGGAGCATCAGCACATTTCTCAGAGAGGACTACAGAATCACGGAAGAGAATGTTTAAAAAGCTAAGCTAGCACATATCTTCCTGAAATAAAAATTTCTGGTAAACAGAAAGGAACTTCTTATGTGGGAAGCTTATAACTCTATTCCATGTGAGAAGATGAATTGGTGTTGCATATTTTATCCTTAAAATGGCTAAAAAGTAGTACTCATGTAAGTGCTGCAGCCTTGGAATTAGTTAATCTGTTGGAAGAAACAAGAAACTCTCATGCCTCACTTTATTCCAGATAGCACAAATTGCCAACTGCACCTTCATACACAATTTCATCTGCAGGTTTATTACAATTTTTATTTTTAATGCTTTTGAGGAAAAAAAATTCCATCTTGTTTTATAAAACTAGGAAACTGCAAGCAAGTTACAACCTCATGCTACATTTTTTGTTTGTTTTCTTTAAATAAAATTGCATAGCCAGTGGAACAAAACCATTGTTTATATATAATATATCCTTAACATAACAAAGCTTAACAACGCTTTTCCAAGTTTACCTCTAAAATGACAGAAGAGAAATAAGCAAAAGCAACAAAAACACCAGCTGAGAGTCTACATTTCTGCAACCAGATAACAAACTGGAGCAGAAAAACAACAAACTCAGTAGCACAGTATTTATCCTGTACCTAACCTCCTCAACGGCTTTTTATCATTCCGTTCTCATTAGAGAAAGCATGAGTTTTCTGAAAGTGGGGTAATCTTCTGGATTAACCCCAAGGGCATTCTTTTTTTAAATGGCAAGCTATGCTAAAGCAACTGTCTCCCCCCCCACCAAGCACCCAAATGAATTGAGTTTACAGGTTAGAAAACACACAAATTTGGTTAGAATATAGAAAAATACAGCTGCTGACTACTATGAACGTATCAAAAAATTCTGGCTTAACTTAGACTGAAAAGCCTTTCTGTAACCAAGGCATGCCAAAGTAGCTTGCACTACGCCATTCATACTTACATTTATTGATTCAATTGGGCCAAACTCCTCCAAAAGACTTCCAACATCCTGTTGAGTAGTCCTTTTGTCAAGTTGTCCTACCCAAAGCGTAGTACTACAGACTACAATCAGAAAGAGTTAACTCAGGCTTTAAAAGCACTTGTAAATACAGATTTCACAAGGCAAAAAATGTCAAAATAGTCTTGTTAAGAGTCACTTATGACATTCAAATGAAAAAGCCTGCTAATATTAAAATGTATTTTTTAATCTTTAAAAGGAGTATTTGAAAGAAACTTCTTTTTTGTCTGCCTGGAGCTGAGTTAAGAGAGTTAACCACAGCAACTACATCACAATCATTGTTAGAAAGCACTCACTAACAAGCTCTCTGGTTAATTAATATTAAAGTGACTTGCAAGTTCAGACTGTGAGCTCTGCAAATCAGAAAAAGGAAAAAAATGCTTTGCTGCTAACACTGCTCCACAAAATATCCCAACACATATGGTGGATATTCCGCAACAAGGTAACTCACTCTCATTACTCTGAAATCCAAGCTACAGGCCAGCATCACAAGTTACAGACGGTACTTACTAGCAAGATGATAGTTAGATTGCTTATGGTGACACACCCATTACTAGTGAGATTTTCCTCCAGAACGTGGTGACAAATCAACTACAATGAGTAACAGAACTTATATCCTCTTTAGTGACCTATTCAATGCCATTCCCTTCTATGGTTAAGAGAAAAATTATTGAAAGGAGATTTTTCTGTCATGAAAGAGTCAGCAACATGCTTATATCTCGCTTCATTCTTCAGGCTAACAAAACATTAGATGAGCTCAAAATATTATATTCGCTAAAGACTATTGTGGCAACATTTAACACTCATCATCTATGCTTTCCCCACTAAGTGATATGTAACTGCTAAGACTCAGAGAGTCTGATGTGGCAGAATCCGGTAGTGATGCTGGCAAAAAGCATATCTTACAGCACTGCTGGTAAGCTTTTAAACTAACAGCTACCAACTTCTGCAGTTCTTTTAAATTAATGGTATTGTCATCCCTAAGGTTTTGGCTAGTTAAACAGTGGGGGGTTTTTAGCTTTTGTTGCTTTTACATCAAGAAGAATGTTCTCATTTTACTTGATAATGCCAGGGAAGATTTCACATCCCCAGGGAATATGCAGAAGAGAACTACATGTTGTCTATAAACAGAGCCAAAGCCAGGATTATTTCAGAATCCAGAACATTAGCCTTTGGGTTTTCCAGGTCAAATCTTCTCTACAGATTTAATAGAGATACACAATGTTGAATCATTATAGAAATTATAATCACGTGCTCAACTTCTTGTTGTTCAATCTACTTTACCATACATGTTTCAAAGGAAAGAAAAATGCAGTGTTTCAGTTTTTTCCTTCCTCATTTTAGAGCCAAAATATTTCCACCTTACAGATCTTCCAGAAAGGTCAAATCGTCTAATATGAGGGTAAGGAAGAACAGGGATGTGGTGAATTAATTCTTGCCAGCCTTAAAATAGTTGCGAAAACAAATCACAGCACTCATGTTTGTGAAAACAAATCACAGTACTCCTGTTTTGTTTCGATGAGTCCCAAGGCCCATATCAAATAGTACTAAACCCAAGAAAAAAGGACAGAGAAGGAAAGGACGATCTGGATCAGAGAAAGCATTCCAAATGGCACTAAGCTGTTTGCAACCTTCACCTGATTCACTGGTGACTCCAAGAAAAAGACCTAAGACAAAGCTAAATTTCTTCGAAGAGCAAGGCGGCCAAAATCTGAAGTTTTACCTATAAATTACTAATAACCTGACAATACTTATCTAAACTCAGCCTCTGATCTCTAGCACTGTAAGAGTTGGAAACAGAGCAAAGACAGACAAAATGGTTACGAGTTATAAAACTTGAATGTGTCTTTTTCCCCCCACAATATACTGAATGATCTCTAGCATATGTTTTTGGCAAGATGGTAGTTTGTTAATTTAAAAAATAAAAAAATAAAAACTTATCAGTGAAGTATTGTAGTCAGATTAAGAGTCCTCTTCTGGGATAGCCCGAGCAGACATTATGTAGTGAGGGTAAGTGGACTGGACAAGATAAATATAACGTTTTTTGGGTCTAACAGTTATAAAAGAAGCATTCTCCTTCACATTTATAGTTCTTCTAAAATACCTAAGCTTTTCTTGTTAATGTACTCCTATACAGATACAGTGTTTGTCTGAAAGCACAGTAATTTCTTCAACCTCATAGAACTCTAGAACTCATTCAAGAAAATACTGGGCACAAAAAAAATCTGTATGTGAAAGAGAAAGATCCTGAGCATCTGAAAAATGGTACTAGCAAAACTTGCAAAGTATCATCAACAACAAACGGGAAGAATAAACTTACCACTAACAGTTTCTGACTTTATCTGAGGAAGGCCTTTTGACCTGCGTTCTCTCTCTCTCTCACGTTCACGTCTTTCTTGCGACCGAGACTTAGGAGAGTGCCGGCGTCTATCCCTGGATCGAGAGCGAGATCGACGATGACGCGATCTTCGAGATCGGGAGCCAGATCTTGAACGCCTCCTTTTAGGTGACCTAATTTAAACAACAATTTCAATTCAATCTTTCTAACCCAGACACTAACAGAGATAGACAGATAGCTACTTCACACATCTATTTAACTGATCAGGTATGTGTTCAGTCGTGAAAAATAAATAAATCCAGATCCATTCACATGCATTTAGAACTACAGCAAATTATTACAGCAGCACTCCAGCTAAACAGTCAATTAGTTTTAAATTTCCTATCTTGTCTGCATCAGTTTTGTGCTGAAGTGAGAATCAAACCTATGTCACGCTATAATAGAAAGAAAACGTCATCTGCTTAAATGAGGAAAGTGTTTGCTGCTTTTACAAAAGAACTGCTAAAAAGAGAGGTTAAAAATAAATTCCGACAGTGAAATTATATTTAACATAGTGATCAAAATCTAAGCAACTCAGGGTCTGAAAGAGAGAATAAACTTTCAAAGTAGTCGTATGAAGTTTGGCAAAGAGGAGGACAGGTAATTAAGTAGATGGTTGTGCTTTAGTATTGGAGCCAGATCTGTTCGCTCAGCTCATACATGGGCAACTGCCTCTCTGACAGGCAAAGAACCACAGCACACTGGATCAGAGATCTCTTCCTAAGAAAAAGTGTCTTTAGAGCACAGGTAAGATTAAATTATCACATTTTGCCTCCCTAAAATTTAGCCAGCACTGACAGATATGAAAGTTATTCTCTGCTAGTAAAAAGAGAACTGTATGGATCTCCCATTTCCCTTAGAAGGTAGCCAGCTTTCAAAGGTATACAAATCCTTAAGTCACTAATCTGCTTCCCATTACCATCACGTTCCACTAACATCCAGTAGTTAGCGGAACTTATCCTCATGACTCCCCTGAGAGGCAAGAGGTTGAAAGGGTCTTTCCCCACCATGCAAAGGGGATTTAAATAAAGCCCTTGGCAGTTTGACTTTACCAAGAAATTCACTGGTGTTGCCCATGCAGAAACAAAATAAAAGGACAGTAATTTCTTGCAATTAAACCTTAAACTAAATCAAAAAGGGAGTCCACTGATAAATGTGTCTTTCGGCATTCTTTAACAGAACTCGACCTGTACAATAGAGCCGGACACCTAAGAAAAGCAACACAAAGTGTGCAGAATAGGGCATCCATGTAGCCAGCAGGAAATACAGTTAACAGGATTGTGTCCTACGGCATTGGAAATGAGCTTCAGCAACAGTTCAAGGAGTTAGCTCACCTCCCAGCTATTCATTGTTGTCTCACAGTTAGCAGTTACCAGCCCCACGGTAGATTTGGCAGCACAAAAACAGATTCTCTGAGCTCCAGGCTATATCAGCCTAAAACTCCTCAGTACTCATACAAAATTAGCATAGCACTTTCAAATTTTGGACATGATGCACTGAAGTTTCTTCCAATCCTTGATTAATGTAAATCCTCATTAAAAGAGCTTCCACTGATTTACCTTGATGCAGATCTAGATCTTGACTTTCTGTTGTCAGAAACATGTCTTTTTCCTTCTTGAATAGGGGGCTGTTCCACTTCCATATCCTAAAATATTAAGTTTGATTGTTTTTACTCTGAGCATTTTATTTCACTTTGTGCCTTAACTGAATTACGTAACAGCACTAAAATTATACTAATTACTCATGTACGTGAAACTGAAATGTAATTCAATTCTCGTCGGAAACTTCACCACCACTATATAGTCAGTAACGGGGAGATAGGCCAGTATTAAATGAATTTAATACAATCACTGTGAAAACATATTGAAAACAGTTCATAAATTAATTTACATGTATTTAAATGTTTGATTTAAGTCACAGCTACATAGTACAACAAATGAAGAAGAACCTGTATCCTATTTCTCTGACGTTCATCAACGTTTTGCCTACATTATGTTCCTGAAAACTTGCATAAAGGTACTTACAGTATTTAAAGAATGAGTTTCCCCCTTAAAATGAAATAGTTTAAAGTTGTGAACGTAAATTAAAGAAATTGGGGGTTATAAATATCTGACCACTTGCTTAAGTTTAAAGCAAGCAACACAGGACACGACTTCTAGATACAGATCTTAAAAAGCAAAAAAACAAAGAAAAAGAAAACCCTAACCAATCCTGTAAGACAGTTCTGCTGGAAGGAATCCAAAACATACTGGGTCCTGCCCAAACTCTAAATAGTCTTCAGGATGCAACCCTGGCAGGGAATATCTGAACAGACAATCTCTCAGATGTCAAGACTAACAAACTGGTTACAAAGATATTCTTGAGAAGTAGCTGCTTCTTCCAAGTGGAAAGAAAGAATAATTTCTAGAACTCGTGATATCACAGGTCACCACATAAAGACAGCCTAGTACCATTTTTCTCATTTTAAAATTCTATTTTCTTGGAATAAAAGAAGTAAATATATTCAATTGCTGCAAGTATATCATAATTTTCAGCACCCCAACATTATCTACAGGCTCCTAAAAAAAACTCCTTTAAAAACTTTTTTCAGATGGAGAATGTTAGCATCTACTTCAGGAACTTCTAAAACTTTTTTTTTTTTTTTTTAAATATATAGGCTCAAAAACAGTCTTGCTTTTTGACTTCTTCTTAACAGGAGCCAGTCACTGAATGAATAATACCCTCCAAAACCTTAAGAACAGGAGGAGGTGTTTACATACGCTTTCGGTTTTTTAGAACTTTTACAGACTTCTGAGTCCACTTTGACTACTTCAGAGACCTAGTGAGTCCTTCAAAACTAGTTTTTTCAAATAATTTCTCTCCAGAATGAGATTACGTTATTAGAACTCTGGTGAATAAAAGACTCCTGAAGCACGATGGAGATGGAAGAGGGACAACGAGGGGAACTGAGAAGCAGACAACCAAGAGGCAATCCAAAGTCTTTCACAGAAAGAGGCACACAACATATACGTGCTGCTTCTGCTAAACTGCTGAAATATCAAACTTGTCATGTAGCACTGTGGCTATCCACATTCCTCGCAGAGAAGTTTCCCTCAGAGGCCTTTCTCCATACATGGTTATCATGATATTTCTCCTCTTGAACAAACTGTGTTCTAATATTTAACTTTCTCAAATATACATAAGTACTTATTTATTGGAAAGGGTCCTTACCTGCTGATGTGTTTTCTGCATATGTGATTCACTCTGTACTGGGAAAGGAGACTGAAAAGTTTGCTGCACGGGTGCTGTTGGCGGTATCACAGGCTGAGCCATGGGTGGAAACTGCGGGGTAGGCAGGAGACCGAAACCCGGCATTTGCCCATTAGGAGGAAGGGGAACCTTCAGGGAAAAAGAACGCATAAACTTCCAGTGAGGATAAAACTCTATTAGATTTTCCAGTTCGCTCAGAGTAAAATTGTCCCTCTACCCCAAAGTCACAATATAAGGCCAGAAGCCTGAAAAGGATAAAGCAGGTTAAGCAACTTATGTTCTTCAAAGGTGTATTAGAACAGAGAATGAAAACAACTTTCTCTGGAAAGTTGGAGAGCTAAGTGATATTCACTCTTCACTTAATAGCAGCATTCCTTCCTTGCTTCTCCACCAAACAAAGGGACAAAACACAAAAGACTAAGATAACAATTTTAAAACCAAAATATCTTTAACAAATAAAAAAAGTTACCTGGTGGCGCATTGGATCCTGCTGTATTCCCATCATTCGTTGCTGAAAAGGATCCATATTTGGGAGTTGTGGAAATACTGGCTGTTGCATACCTTCTCCTGGAAATCCACTAAAACCAGTAAGATTTTGGTGAGAAAAGTCAATAGATATTTTTTGCCTTTATTTTACATATTCCCATGTACACGTATGCATTCTTGCTTCAAATTCAGAAAGAAAAGTGATCTTCATTAAGATCCCACTTCTCTTCTAAAAAGCAAAAACAAACCCAAGAAGAATGGCTTCTTTATCTTTTCTCCACTGTAAGAGGAGCCCTTTAACATTTTAACAACTGCTACCTACATGCTTAAACCTCCTTCCCCCCCTGTAATCGTATGATCCTGCTAAACTGCTCAGTCTATGGAAGTATATATCATGAAGGGTGTCTACCTCGGGCTATCTATCTTTCTTACCAATTCCTCTTTCAGGAACAACAGAAGTGAGCCTTTTTCCTCAAGGAAAAATAAATTGGCCACACTTTTGCTGAAAAAAACCCTTTAGTGTCTCCAAGCTTTGGAAGAGGAACTTGAAGTCTGGGAGGAGTTTAGGGCAGAGGAGAAGGGATATGTGTATAACACAGGGATTACAGTAATGCCATTTACTTCCCGATTCAACACACAGAATGGACAGTGCTCAGGGAATTAATGAGGTTTGTACAGTTAACAGGACCTGCTTACAGGATGCTGTTCATATAACAAACTAAACAAGATTTCAAAAAGATAAAGGAATTTCATGGTTACATGAATGGAACTGTGCAGTATTTTGAGATACAGGTGCCCTACAAGTCTTACATGATTCTGGACAGCTCAATTTTTCAGAGAGAGTATCTCTCATTTTGTAGGCACAAAATGAGACTACTGAAATCCAATTTTCAGAAGCATCTTACGCAGCTATAAAGTAGTAAGGACAAAGGCTTCAGAGCGCTATAGGCAGCGTATAAACGTGCTGAAAAGCCTAGTCCAGCAACCTCTAATTGAGAATACACAAACAGTGGAGATGTTTGACCTACCTCATCTTTCTGAACTCCAGAGTTCCCGTCTGTGTAATAGGGAAAATGCTACAAATTTACCTAAAGGGCACCTAAATGAACTAACACTTGTGCAACATTGAAGTGCTTAAGGTGATGAACACAGTAAAAAAAAGCTAATGACAAAGTTAGTGATTCTGTTTTTCAGAGCAGGGTTTGGATGGCATATACAGAAAATAAGACACGGGGCCACATACTGAAGCAGGGAAAAAAGAAATATTGACTAACCCAGGTATTGAGCACCATCCAGCCTGTGCACTGAATGAAAGAGAGGTCCTGTGAAAAAAACTAGTATGTGATCATGTAATTAAAGACTTTATCATAATGCATATCACAAGGGGAAGAGGGGTCTGAGTTAGTTTGCATGGGTATTTAACATTTGAGATCTTAAAGCTGCAAAGCCAATTTTAAGTTCTAAAATAGTTAATATATAGAAGTACTACAATGTTCAGAATAGCATCTTCGCCACCGCCAGCAAAGCAATCCAGCTGATTAATAACAATGCCTTGATACACTCAGTCGTGCAATAAAAACAGAAAACTCATCTTGCAACCAAAACCGAGTTTTTTCTATCAAACACTTTCCTCAATCAATGATGCAACGTGCCAAACTTACACTGGCACAGTGAAGTAAGAAAATACAACAACTGAAGTAGTGGTTTAACTTTGGACTCTAACGACAAAGCATTCAAGTAACTTCGATTTTTAACCAAAGCTTTGTTCTAAAAATCTTTGGGTTACAAAGATAATTAATTGCATTATGACCACAAAACTTACAAAGCTGGCTGAGAAACTGAAGGAGAAGGAGCTGAATCTTCCTTCTTTGAATCTTCCACTGCTTCTGGTTCATCATCATAATCAAATCGATCTAGCAGCTTCTGAAAGAAATTACATTGAGCCAACTTTTTTTTTTTCAGTTTTTTTGCACAGTTGGCAACCAAAATATCCTTACTAGCAATGTCTTACTTGCAGCTCTGGAATTGAAGAAAAGACTATAAGCAGAGAAAAAAAACGAAGTTAACCAAACTCTTCGAAACCGATTTTGTTCGGCTTTGGAAAGCACAAAAAGCCTATACTTGATGAAAAAGAACAGGAAAGCAACCTCCAAACTAGAAGACAAGGAACAAAATCTGTGCTGTTTTTTTTCCTAACAAATGGTAGGCATTGAGAGGTATCCATCAAACAACCTTCTGTTGCGTTTTAAGTTGTTAAACACAAAAAACAAATGAAGACTTACCTTGTCAAATGATGTTTTTTGCTCAGGTGGTGGGAAAACAGCTTTTTGTTCTGGTGGTTGTGCTGCTGTAGTCTTCAACTGAGCAGTAATAGCTTGAACCTGAGCCATCACAGTGTTATCTATGACTGGTGACTGGGGTTTTGGAGGCTGCTGAAAAGTCTGAAGAATCTGCTGAAGCTACAAGATACATATCGAATTAAAGTCTTTTTTTTTGGGAAGCAGAAAAACTAACATGAATGCTACTTCTCTTACAAGAGCTGTTCAGAATTTAAAAGGTATACCAGGCAGGCGTTTAATCTTAAAAACAGAGTTAAAAATATAGCTGGGGTAATAGCAATTCGCCCGCTCAATAGCTGAATCAGTACAATAAAATTAATTTTACACTGTTGCAACAGAATCTTTTGGTGGAAAGGTATTGAGATTTGAAAAGAGACAGACAAATACACTTAACTGGCTTAACCTTCCTCATTTTGGAGGATCAAAAAGAATTCTTCCCACAGACCAGAAAAGGTTTCCCCTTAAAATTATACCAGTCTATTCCAGTGTCGATTGTTTTATTATAAGCTTACTCAGTTCACAATTATGAACCACTTTCAATCACTTTAATTTTCAATTATATCACTTTCAATTTACTAGTCTTACTGGATAAGCTGTTGTACATGCACAAAATTTCCCTCGAAAGCAAGCATAGAAAGCTGTGACAAACTAAGAACAATTAAACAACATCAATCCAGGGTAGAAGATCAGTGGTGGAGGAAATTCAGACCCTACAAACTGAATTCACAGCAACGCAAACCTAAATCAATTTTTTTTGAGGAGAAAAGAGGATAGATTTAAGAGAAATAAAAAGATTTGGAAACTTCAGCAAGTCTATTAGTATTAAAAGGAGTATAGCATGTAAATTTTATATTAAACCAGACTGGGGCACAGGACAAACACCAGTAACCACCTGACTAAACTACCGAGGTGGAGAATTTTCAGCAAGACCAAAAGCCACTTTTTCATACTTCATTGGCAAACTTCAGCAGATCCCAAGATTACAGTACCAAGCATTCCAACACTGCAGGCATTTAATTAAGTATATCTGACAATAAACTTGAAACTTCCTAACTGCATCAAGTCAGAGCTAATGCTTTACGTAACAGAATTTTCCTCAAATATTTTAATTACTGGATGTAAGAGTCACAGAATATTCAAATGCTGACTTTAACCCTTACAGGTTTCCCACTCAAGACTTCAGGGAGGTTTCTCTTCTGCTCTAAACCAAGAATACTATTTCCAACATTTTCCTCCACTAATTATTTCACATACAAATTAAGTTAGAAGGGAATCAAACACAGTCAGGTTACCTGTTGTCCTTGTGTTGTTTGAAACAACTGAGCTACAGCTGCAAAGGCATCCGAACTGGGCAACTGTGGCACAGTAGGTACCGAGTTAACAGTGACTTGAGGGGGCTCTGAAGGAACCTTTGCTGGAGGGGGCGGCGAACCTGAGAATTTGATGGGATTGAGAAAGCACTATGTTACTCCAAAACATTCATCTTACTCTTCAGTGCATACATCTACCTTCTCAAAAGAACTATCTACAATAACACATTCAGTCCAAAAAGTAAGTCTGCCTTCCTATCTGAACTACCCCAAGAGCACATTCTATCCTTTTCTCCTTTAACTGCTTGATTTGCTGCCCCCATCTGTGTATTGGATACACCAAGACACAAAAAAAGAAAAACGGGCTATCTGAAAACTAGTCCAGCATGGTATTTTAGATCGAAATCTGGTGCCTGTAACTTTCCTACAATTGTACAGTTAAGAAAAAACTATTACTCAAGCAATGTTAAGCAACGAGTGTCAATAACTTATGTCAGTTCTACTGGCAAAGTTTAAAAATCTGGACTTGCTCTTCTGGATGATTATGTCAAATAAACCATCTAATGGTTTATTTTAAGAAAAACTATGGAGTTTTTAATAATCTTATTCCTTCAATCCATTTGAAATATAGAAGATAGAGAACACATTTTCTAGCAGTAACTGAACTTTTGCTGAAATGTCTGGTAATGAAGGTTTTAAAAATTATTTCAATGAACACGCAAGCAAATTTTCTTTGTTAAGTTTTGTTCACGTGCCATTTTTGTGAAAGCATAAACCAAGCCTGCACTTGATAAATAAATAAATATCCCTGCGGTAAAAATCAGCTTTTACTAATTCTTTCAGGAAGAGACTCCTATTTGCACTGAGCTTTACTGAAATTGAAATTAAATGTTAAGACATGCTATTATCTTGGGCTTCATGAGCAGTTTTCCCTTTCTTTTTGGTTTAGATTTCAACACTTTTTTAATAAACATTTTACTAGTACAAGGTAAATTGGCAGTAATGCCATCGATTCTTAAATGCTGTGAGCAACTGCTCTCTGGCAAATACAGTTAACTATTCTAATGAAATATTAGGAAACAGTTCAAGGGAAGATTTTTAAAAAACTCTTATCACTGTAACTGTGCTTTAATACTACTGCGATTCAAAATTAGACAGGATAGAGATATTTATGAGTTTGAAAAATTAAGCAAATACGCTTGCCTCATAATACCAGATTCTTTAAAGCCATTAATCTGTTTGCAGTTTAAATAACTGCAGTGCTGACATACAGCGAGCAGAGACAAACACGTCAAATAAAATTTTCCCAGAAGTCAAATGCTACATAAAAATCCTGCAGAAAGATACTCGTGACTGTTTTGAAATGTAATTTAACTCTCAAATTACTTCCTGTATATATTCAGAAGGATATTTGCTTGCTCAAGGGAGAAGCTATTCACATTTCTCTCTTTTTTTTTTTTTTGGCTAAACAGACTTCGCAGCATTACAAGTGAAACAGATTTTATATCACATAACGCATAAATATATTTATTACTACTCATTAACATGTTTATTTCTGAGCCAAATCATCCCCTCTGCTATATTTGCATAATCTCATTCAAATCAGTAATTCCATACATGTAAATCTATGCAGAAGGCATATAATCTGTTACCTACAAGTGACGAGACAGCGACGGAAAAGTAGTGCCACTCACCTGTCATATCAAACTGAAATTGTATAGCCGCCTGTTAGAATCTAAGCTCACACGCCAAGACATTTCTCCCCTGCCCCACCACGTTTAAAAATCATGTCAACTGATATGCTTTCCTAAACACTGCTGGAGAAGATTTCACTTACGCTACTGTCTGTCATTATTTCATTGCTTGTCACCGCAGCTCGCTCCCACCATTACATTTTTTGCCAGTCCTACTCTTACATACTTCAGTTCAATAAATATGGAAGGTACCAAAACTAAGTCTAAAATACAGAGTACAAATTCACAAAGAAGGCCCCTGAAAGAAAGAGAGGAGTGTTGTATGCATATTCTCCTCCACGGTTCGACTGCCTCACTGCCAGTTTTGTACATGGCATGCCATAAGTCAGTGAAAATACCGTGTGCAGAAAGTCATCATTTTACTCTTGAGGTCAGTATTTTCAACCAGCAGTCCACAGAAAAGTCTACTGTCAGGCATAAATGTACTGTTCAGGGATTTGAAAAGCCAATATAAAATATTTTGGGGATTGCAAATTGAAAGAGATTGACAGCAACTGCCTTCAGATGCTAAGTCCTTCACTGTAAGACAAAGCTCTTAGATATAAGATCATGCTTTATTCTCTCAGATTCTCAAAAAAAAAAAAAAAGAAAAGAAAATAAGAATTATACAACTGAGAAGGAATAGAAAATATTTCAAAACAAAAAAAAACCAAGTTTTTTTAATAGGGGAGATCAAAGCCGTTTTTAAGGAAAGTATGCACATATAGATGTACCTACGCATACACACAATGTAAATGATCATTCACATCCTGATAATTTAGAATGAGTTCAGCTGCTCCACATAACTGTGACAATAAAGCCGAGTTTATTAATGTTGCTGAAACTGTGAGTAGGTGCCTTACAAAACGCTTCAGATTTGCTATCAAGCTTCTAATATCATTCCATCTTTTAAAAAGAATAAGTAAAAGCTGTAATGTCGTTCATACCTTCATTATTAGTAGCATTTTCTGTCATTGGGGCAGCAGTACTAGTTCCCGCTGCCATGTCCAGGAGAGGCTGAATGATCTCAATTTTAAACACTCCATTTTTCTGCCAAAGGTTCAGGACACGAACTATTTTACTCTGTTGAAACAAAAGGAAGCATCAACACTAAATAAAGCTTTTCTAATTTACAAACTCCCAATTAATCCTCTGTACTTAAGAAGAAAGGGTTGGACAGCTTTGGATTTTCACAGAATCAAGAATGCCTTTTAAACAACCACCCATATCATCACATATGTCAGCAAGACATTGTATAGAGGAAAGATACAAACCACCAATTTATTTTGTTATCTCCTTTAGTAAAAAGTTCCTTGTGCCATTTTTATAAAGCTGTTCTGGCCCACCGGAAAACCCAGGTTTGACATACAATACAGGAAGTCAGTCATCCCCCACCACTTCTTCATAGATGATCATAAAGGAGTGAAACAAACACAGCAGGAAAGAGAGAGAAAAGGAAGATAAGCCGGAAAAGCGTGATGAATAGAGGGGCAATTAGAACAGAAAATACCCTAGTATTTTCTTAAAGCTTGAAGTTAGAGAAAAACTGTTTGCTTTAAATTTTTTCTACTAATCCAGTCAATTCTGTGTTGACACCAGAAAATCCATCTGCATTGTTATTTGAAAGATCAGGAAAGCACGTGGAAAACATTCTATCTGGTTACTGCAGTAAGATTAAATTAGAACCTCTGATTGTCAGCTCTCCAAAAGACTAGAAAACAAAATGATGGCCAAAAAACCGAGTAAATTTAATATTCTTGTTTTCAGTTACATATTAACCTCACAGAAAGATTGTTAAAAATGATATATATCATTCTTTTTTTTATATCAGCCATAGTTATTTTATATCTGCAGATCTGTTTGTTGTTTATATACTGGTAATTCAATAAAGTAAGCACACTATAAATAGTATTCCTCTCCTAGTGGAAAGGATCTTAACATTATTTCTGCAGTGAGATATCAGGCAGTTCCATAAAGGAGGCGGATAATCTAATCTACTTAGGTCAACAAAATGGCAACCACAAACAGAGAAACAGGAAGGTCCTGCTCTATTTCGCAAGAGTACTACCATGAAATTTTGGAGCATCAGACTTAAGGTCTGCAGGTTCCACACAAGAAATCACAGAGCAGCAAAGCCTTTCAAAAGCTGTCTCATCAGTTAGGAGGGAAGTGTTTTACTCTTAAAGGACTACAGCTGTGAAAAAGGGTGAGCAGGTAATCTTCTGGAAACCACTGGGCAACTCCTAAAACATACTTATCTTGGGAGTCTTTTCAAATTGTTCCAACCTAGGGCATAAAAAAAAAATCTTCTGTTGGTAGCAACTGGGACCATCATCAGTGCAGGATACTTTCTGAGGCTCTGCTCTATCAGCAGGTAGGGTAAAAGTAAGAAAACTGTGGCCTTAAGTCTCAGCAATGGAGAGTGGCAATGAAATTGTTAAGTACAGGATTTGTAAAGGCTGGAGAAATGAAGATCACAATTCTGTTAGAAAAGGTCTGGGAGCAGAATCTTTACTGCCCACAACACCGGCACTTCTCCTACACTTTCTTCATTTGCCAGGAAAGAGGCAACACCTTCCATAATAAGTCTTCCTGAAGAAGCCTCAAGAAGAAAAAGGTTTTAGCTTAGTCACAAAATATTCAAACGTCTGCACGCAGAACAACAATGATCAAGTTACACTAAATAAATTTATAGCTAGAACTCCCACCTAAGGAACACCTTAAATAATCTTTTTCAGCGTGTTTTATCATCTCACATAGTAAGCGGCACTGCAATTGACAAGAGAATCACCAAATTAGCTTTCACAAGCAGAAACACCAAAGTAACGCTGTTATCAATCCACAACAACACTTGAGAAATTATAGTTGTACCTTGTCTTCAGATGGACAGAGATACAAATACTGGAATGTCGCAGTAATATTTTTAGAGAATCTTGGCCCAAAAACATCCTTGTCCGTTCCGAACTGGTGACGAGACTGACGAACAATAGAGTCAATGACGTACAATCCAGGGACTTTATATTCTGGTTTGCACTGAAAACAAAATAATTCTCCATTATGCAATGATACTAATAAGGTTACAAGTATTTGCCTTAACTCTCTACAAGAAATAGCACACTCTATACTTACAGCACGCGTCATAGAACAAAACAATTTTAATTTATCTCTAGAACTATATAGACTCCAGAAAAGACTAAATTCAGCATAAAACCAAATAGCACGATGCATTCCCCACCAATCCACAGATTTAATATTTACGTCAACACTAATAAAAAAAAATTCTATTTTGAAACACACATTTTATCATCCTTTATATGAAAACAAATATTTAAATACATTCAAAAGGGAACAATAGTTGTTAACACATTGCTACTTTTTAAGGACAACAAAAAGTGAACTGTAATACCCTGCTCGCATGCAAATTTCTACAAAAAGTTGTTAGACTCAATTTTATCCTAATTCAAGGAGAAATCGCTATAGGGTCAAAATCAATGAGTTAAAATGACAAATATGTAAGAAAAGGTTTAATAATCTTAATTTCAAAAGGCTTTCAATTTCTCAACAATGATTTATGCAAAATTCAGTATTTTCAATAAATTAGGGAAAGGGGCTATGAAAAATATATATTGAAAGGCCAGTTATAGTTCTGTATGTGTTCAGTTTAATGAGTATATGAGACCTATGTAGAATACTCTCAGTGTTTCGCTTTTGTTTTGTTGATAGGAATAGAAAATAGAGGAGGAAAAAAAATGATTTTACATTTGGGACAGAGTAAATATACCTATATAGCTTGAAGCAGCCTTCGCCTTCTCAGTTTGTGCTTTTAAAGCAGTTTTAGGTCAACAGCAATAGGTCTACTACTTGCCCACACATACTGTCACAACTCTGCTATCAAGCTAGCTTATTCTCAATGCACTGAGCTCCTTCTGACAAACTATTTTCCAGACCATAATTAACGCAAAGTCCTTCCCTTTCACAACTGAAAAAGAATATTTCTTCCCGTTCACTTAGAGGAATTTCAGTTAGACAGAATGGTAGTTTGGTTCAGTTAAATATTACATTCTAACCTATTGTTCTACATTTCTAGGTAAGTATGAAAATTTTATTTTCTGAAAATATCTGCTAACCTAGCCAATCGAAATTAGTTTGAAGCTCAGTATCCACAGTTTCCTCCCCAGTTGCTCTGGGAAGGATTTTGCAATCATTTTTTTTCTTCCTTTCTTAATGTTCTAAGAAAAACTCAAAAAAGGAGATTATCTAGTCAAAGAGCTATGCAAATGTATAACATTCTAAAAAACAGGATTCTTCCCCCCCCTCTCCCCATTCCTCAATAGTAAAAACAGCGATGACTATTTATTATCATTATCAACAATATCTACTGACAGAAGCAGTGAATATCTTATCTGTAGATTGTATTTATTTATTTTTACCTTTTTGATAAACTTCTCTACAATCTGGACAACATGCTTGTAGAGCTGGAAAAGAAATAGATAATTTATCATCTACTTGACACTGACGCAGTGCTTTAGAAATTTTTTCGTTCTTTGTGCTTACTACCAGTCAGAAAGGACTACAAACAAAATTTGCACTCATTCTAGAAAGAAACAGGGCACAGTTAAACAAGCACTGAGAAAAAGATTTCATAGAGGGAACGGACTGGGACAAGTCATTCTTTCTGTTAGAAGTGTTTCAGCGTGTACACAAAAGAAACTGCTTTCAGGGCATTAGTGACAGCTTTGGGGGTTTACTTTCTAAGTAGGAACTCTAATATGATGAGGTGCAGTTGCATGTTGCAAAATCTTAATTTTTCTTAAGAAAGAAATCACATCAGCACTGTGGGTACAGCATGAGAAAGCAGTGATTCAAAAAAAAAAAAAAAAATCAAACTGGCATTATGCTACTAGTCTGAAACCAAAAGATAATGTTCACCACCCACTTGTTTCCACATAACATTCTTAAAGTCAACTAGAATAAAACATCCATGAAGCTAAAGAGACTGGAAAATCCAGAGTTGCATTTACCTCAGATGTAAAATAATAAAAATATTGCTACTGCTACCGTTTCATCTTTCTTTTATTGTACGTTACCTTAATAGCTTTAATGGCAGCTTTTGTGATGAGAATCATTTTTGCTCGGGAAATAGGAGGTTTCATCTCCATGAGTGAAAAGAGCTAAACAGAGAAAATAAGAAATATTAAAAACCTATCCTGAAGTGTGAGCAATTAAACAAAAAGACAGTATTTCAGGCAACTGTTACTGACATTCCACACTACTCATCAATGCTGGCCCTTGAAACAAAGGGACTAACAGGCAGAGCTTTCTAGGTAATGCTCAAAGCTGTCTTCCTTGTGAACTAACCCACATTCATCAGTTTACAAGATTTTAATAAGGCTGCTGTCAAAGTTCCATTTATGTCTAACAACCGGTATCTGGTTAAGTTATGCTTTAGGAAGTCACCATTTTAAAGATACAATATAAAGCGGAATAAAGTGTAGTTTGACCTAAATTAGCCTGAATACGTTTACCAAAAAGAAACAGGAATGACC